GAATATTTTGAAATAGATTCTAAGCCCCCCCCCCCCCCCGTTTATAGGATTGTCAGCTGGACTCTATAGTACTGTACATACTTGCTAAGAATCTTGGATTCAGTACGTACATCCACTTAAGAAACTGCGCACAAAACCGTAACTTCCGTACTGTCAGGAGGGCGTGCTGCATTGCCATCCTTCCACTCCCAAAATTTCTGTCTTGGAGAATGACCACGTGGGAGAGAAGAGCTCGACTCTTCCAGGAGCCCTCCGCAGCCCCGAAGGCCCACGGGGGACCTCAGTCGCACCTTTGTGTGCCTGAGAACTGGGAAGCGCAGAGGCGGCCGGGCACGAGAGCCGGCACTCGCTGCTCCCGAAAACTGCTCTACGTGAAAGGCGTGCCTTTATTTTCTTACTTACTTACTTCATTTTTGTTGCATTGCTTTGTCTTAGTATTTTCAAACTCTAAACCGCCCTGCCTACTTGGCAGGAAAGCGCTATTATAACAGCATTGCATCAATGAATAAGCACACGCAGCGGAGTCCCAACTATTTACAGCTTCCCTTCCGGCGTTTCAGTCCCCTGCTTCATTTGCTGCCGAAGCGGACAGAACCTGTAGACGGAATATCCTTCGTCCCAATCCCACTCCCGCTTCAAATCCACCGCCGATAACAGGCAGCGCTCGCGAAAGCTCCACTTACCGAAAGTCCCCACCTGATCCCCCTTTTTCCTCCCAGACGGATTCCCGCACCGGAACCTGTCAATCACAACGAATCTCCGCCCCCTGGAAAAAAAATAAAAGCGCTGCACTGGCGAGAGGAAAGCAGGCGGTGCCATACAATACAGTGTGCTGTATCTCTAAAAGCCTCAGTAATCCTTGTGCTCCGATTAACCGTAGATATAAAACTGAAGAGTCGCACATACGCCCGAAATTCCGATTGCCTGTACTGTAGAGGGTTTGCCTTCGTTGTTTAAGCCGAATCCGTCATTTTTTGCCTTACTTGCTGTAATTTAGTAGTACAACAATGGCAAAATCATGTTTAAAGCCTCGACGGGACTGCAGGGAAACCAAAGAAGCACGAGACGTCTTGGAGAAACTCGGTGAGGGGGGATGATGAGATGCAGTTAGGGGTACTGATTTTTTCCTATAATCTGAAAAGTGTCTTGAATGGATGGTTTAAGATTGAAAACAATTGCTTTTATTTAAATTTGGAGAATTTAACCACACACACACAACAGCACATTTTCCATAGGGATACTTGATTAAAAGAGCATACGCTATCTTTGGTGCCAACCTTTATTTACTGAGAAATTGGGAGAGTAACATATCTAATCATAGCTATTCTGCCTGAACGCGATCGGTGGAAAGACTGCTGGAGAAAGAAAAAATTCCCGGATGAGCCGACCTCCCTAGGAACGCTGCGGGCCAGCTGGTGCAAAGTTAGCTCGCCTTCTTGTGGTGCACCAGTGCAATAAAAGAACTAGCAATTGCTGGCGTCAGAACATCTCCCGTGTGTAAAAAACATTGCAGACTCCCTGGCATTGCATGCTATACGCTAAATAAATAGCTACTCGAAAAGCTTTTTTTCCCGATTTTTTGTTTTATAAGACAGCACCTAGCCGACCTAAGCTGAAAAGCTGAATAGATCACGCGCAATTAGTACATGGATAGAAGACTATCAGGAAATCCCAAGAATAGGATAGACTGGGAAGTCGAAAAAAGAACCTGGAAGAATGCAGCGGCAACCCATTTCCTTAATGTTCCCAACAATATCGACATATTCCAGGGCCTATGAAGTTACCAGAAGACTAATTCCACTTGAAGGGATTTTACCGTTTGCACGGGCAGATTTCAGCGGGCAAGAGAAAAAAGTCTAAAGGAAGCAAAGCTCATCTGGCCAACAGAACACGTTATTCTACCTATTTCTACTGAAAAAAAATGTAATCTGATACTCTTGATTTCATTCTGAAGCTCGGTTATAAATTGAATTCACGTTCTAACTACCCTCAACACGTAACCCCACCCACCAACCTCCTAGCCTCTTACCACTCGTTAAAATCTCGATTTCCCACCCCTTCCGCACATTCTAACCAATAGCGTGCAGCAAAGACAAGATCGCATTGTCCTCAATGATGCCGTCCACATGGAACAATTGCGTAAACTCTCTGGTCCCGCCTATCTACTGTTCAGCGCCTCTCCCTCACAAGAGGCCTCGTGACAAGCGGTCTACCTCGCCTTATGGGGCAACGCATGCGTAAAAGGAGTGTTCCCTCGCCGTCCTCCCTCCGCCCCTTTTCAGTCACCTTCTGTCAGTTGGTTAGCCCCGCAATAGCAGTCGCTGCCGGGAACCGCATGGAGTAGGCTGGCTGTGCTTCCCTCTGGCTTCTCTCCTTTCTTTCCCCCGCGGCCTGGGCGGGGAAGGTTGCATTAGCCTCGGAGTCTTTCTGCAAGCTCCCCTTCCCGTTTCCTCCGCCAATGTCATGGACTCGCCTTCGATGCTGCACTCGGTGAAGCTCTACGTGTACGACCTGTCCAAGGGCATGGCTCGCCGCCTCAGCCCTATCATGCTCGGTAAGAGCAGCGAGTAGGACATGGAAACCCCGCCGCCTCCTCAGTCTGTGGTAGGCTGAGGGGAAAGAGGACGGGGTGGCTGTCCTGTCTTTACTGCCTTACGGGGGAAGAAGCGACTGCTCCAGTGACGCGGGGCTGAGGGAGCAGGCAAGCCTCCTCCGTCTCTCCCCAGGCTCCTGGAGAGAAGCGGTGAGAAGATGCGGGCTTGTGCTTCCCTTCTCCTCACCCGCCCGATGCAGGCGATGCGCGCCCGCTCTCTTTCCCGCCAGGGCTATGTGAGGGGCGGCTTTAAGAGGCTTGATGTAAAAGGCTTGATGTAAGGGACGGCTTTAAAGAGCGGTTTGCCTAGCTTAGAGTCACAACTTTTCCCGCCGACACAAAGGGAGAGGCAGAAAGGCTAAGGTCGACGCTCGAAACCCAGTCCTTTCCCAGGGTCGTTTAAGGTGGTTATAGATGGGAGCGATGATTGAAGACGGGGTGAGTTTAAAAAGCCAGGAGACAAGATGTCTGTTTCGGCATGTCAGAAAGGATGTGATAATGGGACCCATAGGAGGAATGCTTACTCACACTTTCACTTTTATAGGCAAGTTACAGCAGCGACAAAAGCAAATCTATCTCCAGGTAAAGAGTATAGTCACTATTGATGTCCCTAAACCACTGAAGTGGCAATTATTTGAATAATTAAGTAGAGAAACAACTGCATTACAAGTGTATGCTTTTGCTCTAATTCAGAAGAAGTGAAAAGTAGACCAAATCAGGGGAATTCCATTGTTCCTAAAAGAAACTGACATTGTGATTCCAGGTGCCAGTGCCACTTTTGTAACTAGCTTGTAGTTCTCCATGTAATCATTGCAAAATCTTGATCAATTCCTTACTGGCATGTGAGATAAGGGCAACTGTTCAGTATTTTAACATTCATTTGGGTTGCTTTTTGGGGGGTACCTAATAGAGATTGATCTTTTCCGTTCCTTTGGCCACTACTTTGTTTCCCACTCCAGCTAACAAACTGCAAACAAAACTTTAACAGCATCATCTTGCAAGATTTTAAACAGCTTTCATCATCCTGCCGTTAGCACTTTTTCATTGACCTATTTAACTTCATTTTCCAAAATGTCTGGCTCTAGTTCAGTGATCATGTCCACATATGTATCAATGATTTGGAGGTCTTTCCATTTAATCACATTACCTTATCTTTATCTCTTCTTTCTCTTACATTTTTGCCTTCTTTATGTTTTATTATGACCATCTTTCTGTAAAAGCTTTGCTTGATTTCTCTAATTTTCTTAAATCTCTTGTTTTTCCCATTTGGTTATTATCCTCCATTTCTTTGCTTTGCTTATTTAGATATAACTTCTTGCCCTTCTCTGGAATTCATTGTTTGGGTAGGTAATCTATTTTTCTGTTGTTGTTGCCTTTTCCTTTTGCCATTTTTCAGCTATTTTCAATGTATCAGTAGATAGCTATCTCATCATCTTTTGCTTCTGATAGCATGGAATATTTTTAATTGTTTCATCTCTAACAATATAACAGATTTCTATTAGGAATTCTTCAGGGACTCTATTGAATTTAGTTCATTAAAATATATTTATTTACTCAATTTATATTCCACCTTTTAATTCAGAGCTCAAGGCAGCATATGTAGTATGCCCTCCCCCAACTTTTCTCTACAACAACCTTGTGAGATAGATTGGGCTGCAAGAGCAGAGCAACTGACCCAAAGTCACCCAGTGTGCTTCCATGGCTGACGTGCACTAGAACCTGAGTCTCAATGTTCCTAATTCAACACCTTAGTCCCTAAATGACACTGACGCTCATATAAATCTGTTCTTTTATCTTCACCGCCTACTCAATGGCTGAGATTACATTTTCTTGGCTTTTGATCATTTTGTTTCCTTTCTTGGTTGAAGGTGGAAGTTCATGATCTGAGCTGCAGTCAGAATCATGTCTTGTTTTTATTGGCTGAGCAGAACTTCTTCATCTTTACTTGCAAAGTATATGGTCAATTTTATTCCATCTAGTAACGTCTGTGTTTACAGTAGTTTAGATTGGTGGAAAAAAGTATTTCTTATGAGCATCAAATTATCATGGCAGAATTCTGTTAGTCTGTCACCTACTTCATTTTAAATACCAAGGCCAAATGTCCCACACTATTGTATTTTAGCATTCCAGTAACATCTTTTTTTGCTTTTATATTGACAAGTTATTGCATGTCAGGATAGAACTATTCAGTATCAGCCTCCTCTGCATCTGTGGGATGCTGGGATCACCCTAACATTGAACTCCTTAATTTGGACTTGAATTGAAATCCTCCTGTCATTTTTTTAGTTGTTTCCAAGCACTGGCTTTAACACCCTTTTTGCTAATAATTATGACTACTTCATTTCTTCTCTGATGTTCTTGTTCACTGTAGGATATTTGGTGCTCTTCTGATGTGAAGTGACCCATTCCAGCTTTACAGTTCACTAATTCCCAGAATGTCAACATACACACTTGATATTTCTTCTCTGATAATATCCGCCTTGCCTTGGTTCATGATTCTAACATTCATTGTATCAACTCTGTGTGTGTGTGTGTGTGTGTGTGTGTGTGTGTAAATAAAATACACAGACACACACATAAAAGAACATACCTTTGCAGGATCAAACTTGCCTTTTGTCTCTGGGCATACCAGCAATCGAACATTCTATCAACCTTGATCCAGCCACACAATTAGCATCAGTGCTACTTATAATTGCCCTCTACTTTTCCTTGTTAAATACTGCCCCCCCAGGGGCTCATCTTCCAGGAGGACACTGCTTTTGTCATAATTGCGAATGTCAGTTGGTTTTCTTGGTAGAATAGTGGAGTGGGTTGCCATTTCTTTCTCCAGTGGATTGTGTTTAGTCTGATCCCTCATCTGTGATCTGCCTGTCAAAGGTGGCCCTTCTGGGAGTATGTACTCCCAGCAGTATAATTCATAGCATGATTGGGAAGTACATTCTCTTTTACCACTGCAAAGTGATGATCCTTGAAGGGGTTAAATCATTTAATTTCATGTATTTTAAATACATACAATTTAATCAAACTAGTTTACTTTAACTACTTGCCTATAATCAGTAATTTTCTTCTTGATGTAGCATAGTGGAACCTTTATTCTTGAAATTAATTTCTGATCAGTAAAAGTGGCAACCAGAACAGTATATGATCTTAATATTATACATCATTGACAGAATAAAATTGTGTAACTGAGAAGGAGAAAACCAAACCATCTTATCTTAAGACTATCCCCAGATTATTGATGGAAGATTATTTTTAATCCATAAAATATATCCATTCCTTTTACCTGCAAAGCAGCACTAAACTTAGATATTAAAGTTGAGTTTTTATGTATCCTCAACATACAGATGTGCATTTGCAGAGTAAATGTCTAGATGTTGAGGGATACCACAGAACTGAAGGCCAGAAAGGATAATTTTTCATAAAAATACTACAGAATCATTTGCTGTTTGTCAAAATGCTATATTTCTTTCTGTTTTTGAAAACAAGATTCAGTCAGTGATATGTTGTATGCTGCTTACTTCTTTGAATACTTTTAGTAGAAGAGCAAGATATAAATATTAAATCATTTCATTATTTTTTAATGTTTGCTTTCTTTTATTCATATCTGAACTTGCACTGTCATTGTGACAAAGAAAAGAGTAAGCATAACAAACAACTCATTGAGTTTCCACAGAATTAGAAGTACCTCCCACGCTGAACCCTGTACTAGTTAAAGCTAAACTTTTGCTTTTATTATGCATGCTTAGGCAAGTTTATCCTAAGATCTCTAATTTCCAAATAGGGATTAAAGAGGAGAGTGTATAATTTAAAAATCATCTTCCCACTTAAAAACAACTAAACAGGAAATTCAATTACTGTTAATATTTACTGAAGAATCTGCAGAGTCCAACTGCATATATGCCTCATCAAAAGCAGATACCAATATATTCAATAAAATCTGCTTCCAATTTAGTAGAAATAGTATTCAAATTTCTGTAATATGCTGGGAATTGAGCACAGGGGCAATATTCACTTGACATAATATGTTGCACTGATGATACATCATTTCTAACATATTAGGTCAGATGTAAATAAAAATAAGTAATTTATCAATAAGTTTTATTTGATCTAAGAGAAAAAATCTATTTACTCTTGTCTTAACATATTAATTATTAACATATAAATATTATGAATCAACTTTACATATTACAACACAAATCCTTTATCAGCCTGCCATACTTAGAATCTTCAGGAAAAAGAAGGAGTTCTCACAAGTTTTCAAGGAAGTGAGATAGTTAAGTCTCACCTACTGAGCTCCTTCTAAGAGAAAACTAATTTAGTGTGCATGTTACTCAAAAACTAATACTGTGTATTCTTCATGAAGACTGATATACAGCTCTTTATCAGTAGCATAAAGCTCAAGGCATACAGATGTCAGTTTGACTGAGGATAGCAGATACAGTATCTCCTTTATTGTTTTAGAAAGGTGATTTCATATACGCATATTTTAAAGAGTGTATATGAAATCATATAATGAAATGTGAATAATGATGGTTACAAACACGAAGTTGCTGATATATATTGCTTTGTTTTTCTTTTGTATACAGGTAAGCAGCTAGATGGCATCTGGTGAGTAACTAATCTTAAACTTAATTAGAATGTTCATACTGTGGGAGATCCCTACAGTTATGCTCTACATGATTTAGATAGTGTAGTCAAGGGATAAAAATTAACAGAGAAATCTAATTATTTTGGTGTAGCTACAGTCAAACAATGCAAAAAAAACCCTTTCAGTATGGAGCAGGGACAGTGGGGGAACAGAAAAAGAAAACCCCCAACACATTAATGAGAACAAACATTTGTCATAAAATTCTAATTGACTGCTGGAGGTGAGAGGTAAAAGCTGAGGGAAGAAGAATGGAACTGGAATGCCTGAAATTCTGAACATTCTGCAGTATTATACAAAATATTCTGTCAAAAGGCAGATGAGACTGAGTAATCTGTTGACATTACCTTTGATAAACTGTTTGGTAATATACTGGCTAAAGATTTACTCTTTCTTTTAACCTACTGTTTATTTATTCCCAGGCACACCTCCATAGTTGTCCACAGGGATGAATTCTTCTATGGTAGTGGGGGAATTTCAAGTTGTCCACCTGTAAGTTTACAGGAGTCTCAGAAGTTATTTGTCTTTTTTGTCTCTCTTTTTGTCTCTGATTTTTCTTAAAACCAGTTGATTTTAATTTATTTATTTTTGTAGTTTTTGAAATTAGTATTACCATTGTTACATAGGGAGACTATATACCAGTAATCACTTATATAATCTGAAGAAGAGATAGTTAGAAATGAAATAACTAAACAAAGCTTTGATTAAAATGGATAAAGGAGGAATAGATGATAAATGAAATTTTAAAGTGAGGAGGAGATTATTGTTATTATCCTGGCTTTCTACTAAGAGGGCATTTAAGGCAATTAGAAAAATAAGATGTAAAAAAAATAGGGTTTACCCAAATATCTTGCTGCCTGAGGTAAAAGACAAGAAATTAACTAGTTTTGCAGTAGATTCTTAACATCAACAGTGGCAATGGGATAGGATCCTTCATCAGACTTGAGGACAGTTTATGGAAACAAGACAAGCTATTCTATATCCCTAAACTCTGAGAAGAGTGGCTGGAGTGCACAGGAAAAACACCCTGGGACTGCCACCCCTTACCCCTGTAGCTTCTATTGCCTGGATAGTTGCCTCACATTACCTAACATTAGGCCTTGCTCTGTCTATTGTACAGTATCCTTTGCTTTGAATATTAGTAATCTTTTCAACTCTCCACAACTTGGTTTAAATAAAAGATCTTTCTTTCTGAATCTCATTTTCTAATGCCATCATGATGCAGCCAATGCTGATTTTAGTTTAGCCTTGTGCATTAGGTTGTGTTTGTGTACTGAAATGTGAAATTTAAGAGATGTATCCCCACAATTGAGAAACTGAAGTCCTGAGCCCTCTTCTAAAGCCATAGTATTTCTCTCTTCTGTAAGACAAGATGCGGGGAAGGGGGGGAACCTCATCACTATCAAAAGCAAAGGTATTTTTCTTTTCCTGCTGTTCCACATCTCCAGATTAAGATTATATGAGGATCCTTTGAATGTGACCGTTTTACTAGTGATAGCAAATGTGAGCAAGTTCTGAAAGTCTGCAGTTGATGTGAACAAATTGTGGAAGTTTGCATAAAATGTTCAGCTTAAATTGTTCTGTAAAAGATAATGAGAAATTTTCTTGATGACTTAATAACCTAATGAATATAAATTTTATAGGGTGGAACACTGCTTGGGCCTCCAGATTCTATTGTAGATCTGGGATATACTGAAGTTTCAGAAGAGCTCTTCTTAGAATACTTGTCCTCATTGGGGGAATCTATATTCCGGTGAGACTCTGGTGTTTAGTTTCTATTCTAATATTCTGTGAAGGGAAAAATTAATTAGAGTTCACATAAACATACTTTTTATGTTTTATGTAAGTTTTATGTAAAATTCTGAAATTATATGCATACACTATATTTGAAATCACCTCAGATATTAGAATACAGTATGAGGATAAACTAGGCAGAGTCATACTATGCTGATTACATTTGCTGCTTAATTGTTGTAATGTCACCTCTGAATTGATTTACTGTAGAATAGAAGGTTTGTATAAAGCAAACTAACTATAGTTAATATTCTTGTTTCTGGCCATGTAATCCTTTAAATAGAATTAGAAAAGATACACCCTCTGTTTATTCAGTCATTGATTATCCTATATCAAAACACTGAAGTATTTAATTACATGTTCTTTTTTTCTCCCTCATTGATGAGAAGTAGACTATCTTGGATCATTCCCCTTCATATATTTTTATCTCATGGTTTATTGAGCAGTGCAATTGTACAAAGTATTACAGATATGTGATTATTAACACAATAAAAAATGCTATTAGCAAAAACACATAAAAGCAGTAGAGCATAGAAATTTAGATTAAGTGTTGACCAACTACAGGTAGTCCTTGTTTAGCGACTGCCTCATTTAGCAACCATTGCAGTTACAACAGTGATGAAAAAGTAACTTTATGACCAATCCTCACATTTACAACCTTCACAGGTCTGTAAAGCAAAGCAAAGCTGAAGTAAGATCATAAGCACAGTCGCAGTTTCACAGTGACCACTTCATTTAACAACTGAATTGTGAGTCCCAATTGTGGTCACTAAACAAAGATTATCTGGAGACGGTTGGGATTAAGTTAGAACATTTTTATAACAATTGCTTTTCAAAATAATTTGATTTGATCTTTATAAATAAAATTTGCACTAGCACTTGTATTGTCTCTTAGTATTACACATATAGATATTGCAGAGCAATTGCAACTGTGATATGTAAGTTTTAAATGGTTTCTGCTTTCCTTTTTTTAAAATAAGAACTTTATTATATTGTATTTCAAAGTACAATTAAAATACAATAAGTACAGCAAAGAAAGAAGATGGAACTAAAAGAAAAAAGACTAAAACTATAATAGTGAAGATAGATAGAAAATTGAAGCAGAAAATGACTTCCAACTATCTCCAATATAGATATACATACAAATTTTTTAAAAATTAATCTCTTACCACTAATTAATCCAAGTTCACATTATTTCTATCAGCACAAACCGTCTAATCATTAAATCCCACAATCAAAACCTCATTTTTTTCCCACACAAGCACATAATCTAAGAAGGGC